TATATATATATATATTATTAAGGATCCGCGGGAATGCATATGATGTGTAATATTTTATTCTTTTTAATTCTCAGTAAATAAGGATAAAATGATATCTCATCATACGTGAAGTGGAACACACTCTAGGTTTGTTCGTATTGCTTGAAATAAAAAATTTTTGCACTTAAAAAAATGTATTTGGGCATTGAAGAGAAAGAAAGCGTAAATATTGAGCGTAAAAAATGCAAATAATATGAACAGATTTATAGCATTTATGGCTTCCGAGTATAATAAATCTGAAATTAACCTAACCCTTAAAAGATACCACGTGATCTCATCCAATCAGAAAGTAAAATATGTGACATTATTCGGTTAGGTTAGGTCAAATCCTTGCACTCGAAAATAGTCGAAAACACTGCTAGAAGAGTCAATTGTCAATGAGATGACCATGGCGGAGTGGTATCAAGCGAAAATCCTGCATTTATGCGAATTGAACAATGTCGAGGACAAAAAGGACGTTCTTACGGACATCAAAATCAAATTCAGCGCTTTGAACAATCGGGATGCCGAGCAGATCGCTCGTAGTTTAGATTACAGGCCATTTTATTCGCAGCTAACCTCGAACGACAGGTACGATGATAGGTGAAATTTTTGCAATTCTCATGGACGATAATTTATGCATATATCTGTCAATTACTGCTCATGTAAGCTTTAATCATTTATTTTTAAATATAGATGTTATTGTCTTATTAATGCATATCGAGCATTTACGGAGTGATAATCAGAAAATTGTTGTAAAATAAATAACTGTTATTTTGTAATAAATGGATACACGAATTCATAGATAAATAATTTCTGTTTAAATCTACTGATAAATTGATGGGTTTCTTTGGCAAAGTGGCATTACATTTATTTCCTTCTGTTTATTACATTAAGTCATTTAGTTTCAACAATTTCTTGATTATCACATTATATGTGTAAACAACTGCCTTATTTATATAATATTTAAATCTTTTTATTTTATAATTAAAATTTAAACTTATTTTATATGTAACTTTACTTTTTCTCTTAGAATATGATACTAAATTTTTTGCCTCTTATTGTAAAAATTTTAATATTAATTACATAATATATATAATTCTGAGGTTTGCTACTAAAAACAAAAAGAATTACTTTTCTTTTTTGCAGAGAAGTTATAGAGCAGATATGCGATATTCTGACCATCTTATTTAGCATGCTAGAACCTGGGGAAATTTATCAGAGATATTTAATCGAAGTATCTGCTTTAATAACTAATCCAAATGCTAGTGTGAGATTACTTGTGCTACGTGAGTTTTCGCGCACAGCTTTGCATCCGCAAAAGATATTTCAGTTACTCTCAGACACCACTCTTCTGATTTCAATTATAAACAGAATCAGCGATAACGACTTGAATGTCGCTGAATGTGCGATGAGCATAGTGAAAAAAATTGGAGAAAATCCAAATGGCCTACATATTTTGTATAAGGGCGAGCTCCTAAGAACATTTGCCAGGCTGTTGCAGAATGATACCATTAGCTTTCGTGTTTATGAAGTGATTGTGGACATAGCCAAGATATCTCAAGAGGCTTTGGAAGTATCAGCCCAGTCAGGCTTTCTGAACAGTTTAATCAATATACTAGAAAACGAAGATATATTGCTTCAACTGAATGCCTTGGAAATATTAACTCAATTAGCTGTATTCGAAGAAGGTCTAAGTTATCTGGAGCAACAAGAGGTATTGAGCAAATTAGTCCAAAAAATATCACAAGTTAACGAGAATCCTTTGTCAAATCTTTTGATTCCCGGATTGATGAAGTTTTTCGGTAACGTTGCTCGTCACTGGCCCAACGAGTTGTTTGTCAAATATCCCGTGATAATCTCCGCGCTTTTCGATGTGATAGACAGTGGAGATCAGAATATCTTGGGTCCTGCATTAGATACTCTTGGATACGTGTCTGCGAGCATTGAAGGGAAGTATGCGTTGCAAGCTCTAGGAGAAGCGATGCCGAGTGCTCTTAAGAAAATCACTGAAATAGTACAGAGAATGCCGACTGCTTTGAGAATTCGCGGTTTGAACAATCTTGCTCTTATACTCGAGGTCAAGAGAGTCGAGCAGGACAACAGAATTTTGTCCCTAACGAAGTTATGGTTTGATTCGCTGTGCGACGATCCATTGGGAATGATTGCGGCGATATGCAGACAACCATTTGCTGATATCAGACAGGCTGGATTGGAAGTGCTAGCGGTTATTAGTTCTCAAGTATGGGGACAAGAATACATATCTACATATCCTGGTTTGGTAGAATTCCTATTAGATAGAAATATTGAATCGTTTAAAGAATGTAAGGATGCAAAATATGAAGTTGTGAAATGTTTATCTCAAGCGGAGCGAAATATATTCGATGCGGACACTATGCAGAAATTCAAGCAATTTGTTAATGAAGGTCCATATTTTGTTGATATTAATACAGAAGTTGCGATAGAGGGTGCTTTGTAAAGGATAATAATTTTTCATATTAATATGTAATATTAATATTAAAGATTATGTTATGCATAGGATAATAATGTAAGCAAATAAGAAATATAAATAAGTATTTATTTTTTACTTTATTCATAAAAAAGATATTGCTTAATAAAGATTGTATTCTTTTAT